AGAGCATCAATGTCTGTCCATAACATCGATATAATGGCTCCGTCAAAGAGCAAGGCCTCTAGCCAGAAGAAGGAAAAAAAACTGTTCTCCATGTTGACGCCCAGCCACATGTCGCACAAAGGTCTTCGTAAGAAAGGGATAAATCAACCTATCCAGCTTTGCTTCTTACAGTGCATTCGCAGGATCTCACCCTCACCAACCTCCTGTTTTCCGGCAATCTCGACAGCTTCTTGGGGAGAAAAAGATTTGAAAACCGAGACATGATGGAAAAGACCTTGGCCGATATTTGAGCTTCTATTGTTCCTGTATCTCAAGTTCGTTAATTAAACCAGTACGCTTCCTGTTAAGAAAAATGAGTAGTTTCCAACACTTTTTTGAATTACTGAAAATGTTGAGTTTGAGCTGAGATATGTTGCTTTGAAGACGGAGGTCAAAAACCGGCATTAATTTCCGGACAACCTAATACAATAAGCAAATGCAAACTGTACTATACAGTGAGCTAAAGAATTCACGGTGCTGTCCATTGATGTCGACTCACAACCTTGTGGCTCGCCTGCCTTTTTGCTCACGTAACAATTTTTTTTTTTGAGCATAAACATCCTAATGAATACGATTTTTGACACATGGAAGACTGCATAGAATTACGTTGGCTTCAGTTAACATTGGCAGCTTATTCTCCTATTATCAACACAGTATGGAAGTTAAGAGCATTCTCATCTGAATCATTGATCTATCCAGATTCAATTCAGTATTCGCTGTAACTGCGGTATCGATCCTTAATCACCTAACAGCAGTTGAGATGCTAGAAATAACGCATCAATGCCTTCAATTACTTTAGCTCCTTCAATAAAGGAGGGGTGGTTTCGGAGAAAAAACATATCTCCATGGCACACATCAGCATTCGTCACACAGGACGCCGCGCTCTTAGTGAAAGTTTAGGTCAGTATTTCCCTGGGATGTTCCTTTATAAGCAGAATTAAGTCTCTCGTTCGGTAACATCTCCATTTCGGAACAGAAAATTATCCGTCATCCTTATGAGCTTTCGGGATGAGTCAATCATGCACCATGCAACTGTGGTACTTCTCCTTACTAGGTCACATTCAGAAAATCGACATGTAATATCAGGAACTACCAAGGATCTCCTAATACGATGGACGGCTTAAAGGACGAATTCACGATGAAAAAGCAACCCATTTCAAATTAACCTAGGGATGGTGAGTGGTACACGAAAGAAGGAAGAACCATGAGAAACGGCCCAGAACCCGAGAAATGGTACCCCTTCCTTGCCCGTTGATTCGAGCATTGATGCGACTCTCATCGCTGTGCCCTCTTCAACACTACGCTCTCTCAGCTATCTAATCACTCGCCACGTATTGAACTACGGCGAGTGATCAGATGATCGGTGGGCGGAGATCGCCGGACCCGCCAGCTTTGAGGCATGATAGGTCGCCGAGGTCAAATTTTTCCATGCGAATTGTATAACAGTTTTTAATGTTGTTCTAGAAAGCAGGAGATGATAAGGATCGTGTTGACATGTCTTTAGTGGCTAGCTTTCGCTGTACTAACAGCATCTTCAGACCTGAATTACTCGCTTTTGACATGCGTACTGTAATCCTTAAAAGGCATCAAGATTTATATCTTAGCGGTGGCGATAAAGTATACCTAGCAATAGTCACGTGTACCGCATTTGTAGTATTTTATTTGCCTTATTTGTTTTTTTTTATTTTTATTTTCTAATTTTATTTGACAGTGGTGTCGCGGTGAGTAGTCCTTCTGTATAATTGTGTAGTTAGCACCTGTCGTTTCTGTGCATATTGTATTGCAGATTAGAACTTAGCGAGTTGCTGTGAGTAGTATGTTCAGTACGTTCGTGTAGCTTTAGCTGTTAAGAATTACAAGACGTATGTTGAAAGCTTGATTAATTCAGGTTTGAAGAAGCTGTTAGTACAGCGAGAGCTAGCCACTGAAGATATTCAAACGAGTCCTCATCATCATCACTACTTTTCTAGAAAAAGATCTTGTAAAAATGAGGCTCTCGGATGGCTCAAATCTCTCGTATTTAATTTGCCAACTTATTGGCCATATCGCTCTTGATACTACCTGGCTTTCACTTCCGTTGTCCATTCGCTGTTAAAGACATGAATAATTCACAGACGTCATTTGAGCAAAAAAAAACTAGCAAGATATCTTTGTCACTGACTTTTTCGTAGCGAATCGTCATCAATTGTTTTTTGCAGGGATGCGCTACAAAAAGCTTATTTTGTAAATTATATCATAGAAGAGGCGAACGCAGCAAACTCAAACGCGACTCCATTTTGCATCGTGTTTTGCTTTGTTTTTTCTTTCGAGAATACTACCACAACTCGTTATTTTGATTGTGTTTTGACTAGGACTTGTTTATATCGCAGATCCACCCCCTCTTCCTAGTTAGGGATTCTGCTGATAAAAATGTTGATCTCAACCTTCTCCGCATCATGATAGTCCTTTTGCACCTTTTCAGTTTGAAAGGGAACGGAATTAGTAACTGAACCTGAACCTGTAGATGAGCAATGAATTTCCTATTAAGGATGATGGATGCGCAATATTTCGTTTCGCTCGCGTCTACGACTATTTTCGTCTTGGGAACAACATTGAACCTCATCTTCATTTATATGATAAGAAATGGAACACGAAATGCTGTTGGTCAAGTCTACAAACATATTCTGACTTCTTTTGCAGTGTGCAACATCGCCTTCGCCTCAGCGGAATTCATTGCAAAGCCTGTAAGTTATTTTGCTCGACCGCGCTTCTCACACACCACGCACACACAGGAAATGAGCGACTGTTCAAAAATCACTCAGTATTGTTCTCACTCGAAGTTGTAAGCCTAGGTTGATCAACAGATGTAAAAATGTGTGAGGGTACCGTTTCATCCCAACTCAGCTTCTCATGGTATACGTACAGTGCCCCGGTAGCGTAACTGGTAGCGCACTTGCCCGGAAAGCGAGAGGTGCGGGTTCTAGTCCCGCCTGGGGCGAAAGTTTTGTTCACAACCCAGCATTCTTGTGAAATAATAAGGTTAGCCCCAGAATTAAATAACAATGACGATTTGCGTGATACTGCAGTTGCAGCACGTCTACGTTATTTGAAGGCAAGCTCCGGAATAAAACTGGTGTATATGAGCGCCTCATCCCAACTCAGCTTCTCATGGTATACGTACCATGAGAAGCTGAGTTGGGATGAAATGGTGCCCCGGTAGCGTAACTGGTAGCGCACTTGCCCGGAGAGGTGCGGGTTCTAGTCCCGCCTGGGGCGAAAGTTTTGTTCACAACCCAGCATTCTTGTGAAACATTCGCAAGGCGAACTGCGGCCAAAAACAGCAGTTAACAAACAAAAACAAGTCAAAATCTTATTATTTTCATTTTTTCCTCTCCACTGCATTTTTAATGAGACGGTGTAGAACAATTCTTTGCGTGATTATCTGCAACGCATGCAACTGGAATGATTAGCACTGCGGAATTAATGCGACGAAATTGCAGTCGTAGCACGTTTGCGATATTAGGATGAGCTTGGGATAGGTGTTAGTTCTCGCTGAGTACCCGACAGGAGGCCCGTGGCGCTCGACAAGTCAGAGTCGCAGACGGGTCAGCGGATGAGTCGCAGCCTTTTGAACAAATTTTAATTGGAAGATGTTTAATATCGATGTAGTCAAAAGTTGAATCTCTCTAATCAGAATTTGAAAAAAAAGAGCACTGCTAAGACTGCCGGCAAGTCATATGCAATACAAATATTCTGTGATTCAGGGTATTCACATATACGGTACCTCACTGATGACCTTCAGCCACGGCTATTTCCAGCAGGTGAAGCCGTGGGGTTTCCTTTCACTTTGTGTCTTCATAGGAATGTATGGAAATAATACCGCCCTTCTGTCTCTCCATTTCATCTACAGATATATTGTCGTTTGCAGGTTAGTGTATTACTAAACTCCGAGACCTTGAGAATGGGTGTAAGTAAAGGCAGCATTTCTAAGAGCATCAGGAGTGAACAGGACAAGGATTAGACAAGGTTTCTCTCAGGAAACCTCCGTAATAATCAATTTCAGGCAGCAACTTACGAGTATATTTCACAACACAGTTTCCGTTGTGTTTGTGATCTTATCCGTACTCTCTTGGGGTTGTGTGTATGGCTTTATTACTTTCTATTGTTTTGCGGCCACCAACGACTACTACAATTATGCAAACCCATCGGTTCGCGCAAAATTCGGGAAGGACGCTCATGAACTGTCCTTTTTCTGCATCTTTACTCACGTAAGCTTTGGGCGGCCGTTCTGAAAATTATAGCCAGTCAAAAATGAATTCCCCTTTTCCAGGAAGTGAAGGACGATATAACAATAATCCATTGGTCATCCACTATAGGTGTTGGGATAATATTTGCTATGATGATATTCACATTTGCCGTTATGGTAATTTGCGCAATTAAAATATACCGAGCACTGAAGAGATCTTCCATGAGTCAAAAATCGAGGAAGCTGCACACGCGACTGTTGAAGGCACTGATTATCCAGGTGATTCATTAATTCGACAAGTTCTTCCAACCGCTACTTTTTCTCATGGTTCCTTTCTTCAAAAGCTTCGCTTTAGGCAATAATTCCATTTTTTACTTCATATTTATCACGTATCGTGATGTACACCAGTGTCATCATGGGACTTCAGCCGCTACGGTGAGTAGTACAGAGATACGGAAACATCAGTTTGGCTCCGCTCGCTAACGCGCTCATGTCAAAGTAGGCGGTACAAAAATGAGCATAGCCGGGCTCATGTGTCAAAGCATGCTTTTGATGGGCCTGAGCGATGTTATCGAAGAATGGTTGACTATAGTACTGGTGATAAAGCAGTCATCTACGACAGCTCGTCAACTCCGCGAAAATCCATTATTCTTCGAAAAATAATTTGTTCTAGCGGCCGAAATTCTGGGATATTGACACAATACTGCTGCTTACTTTCAGCCGTTAGCGTAAACAGCTATAATTCTTTGCACCTGCGATAGTTGAGCGGTCGAATGACTTCTTATACCGGTGACATTGAAACAGAAACCCCAATACTTATCGTATTTCCAAAAACAACGTCGTTCCTAAGAAGCTCAATCAGATTAGCGGTCGAATGGTCTGGATGTTGACGACGACATCGCAAACAAAATAAATTTTTTATCGCGCATCTATACAACAACTTTAGCGGCTCTTCATTTTCAACCTGATCAATCTTATCAGCCCTTATCAGTTGTTATCACTTTTTGTCCCCCACCAAATATGTTCCCGTCCCACCCCCTATATCATATCTTGAAATCAACTCCTGACGACTTGCTGGTGCCCGCGCTATGAATTTCCGGTCAAACACACACCAACAGACATACTTAGCTGATACTATATAGTAGGACAACAGATGAAAAACAGAAAGAAGTAGCCAAAAAGTAGTCACTTTTACACCGCTCAATGTCCTCTTCCGGAAGAATACACAAGTACCTTTGGAGATTCACAAGCTGCTTAGTGGGGAGAGTAAAACTGCGCGACATTTATAATGTAAAAACCTAATAAAAAGAGGAGGCACCTAAGTTGAGATAGGGGAACTTTCCTGCGCAGAAAGATTAGTCTTCCTTGCAAAGAAGGCAATTGATGGTGAGCGTACATCCTCTCAAGCGCAGAAAAGTCTTCTTTCCCAGCGCTCATACTGATTCCAGCTATAGGTGGAAACCGTATAAAATATGAATGAAGTCTATTACCATGAATGTGCTCATCTGTTATATATGTACTTGTGTTCAGAATTTACGCCTTCACGCCATTGGTAGTGTCGATCTACACTGTAATCGATCCAATTGCGATAATGATTTTCGTATGTGATTATCGCAAAACAGTTA